ACAGCTAGGTGGCAATTGGGGAGCGATACCAGAAAATAATAGAAATATTCCAGAAACGTGAAATCTAAGAAATAAAGGCTGTAGAAAATAGGACGCATTACGGACCTTTTAGTCCTGGTAGTGAAACAGACATCCTGTCCCCTATTTGCACTCCACCTCCGACTCGGTAAGTACAAGTAGGCGAAAATTCCCTTTAAGAGATCTAGGACTCATTTAATCTGTCAGTCTGCCCGCCTACAAATATTTATTAGTTCCTATAATGCTCAGAACACTGTGCCCGCTGGGCGTGTAACTAGCTGAGAGACCTTATCTTCATAGAGTTGAACTGGTTGAGCTCCAGGTAGCTGGGATTCTCCCAAATATTACAGATTAGCATTACCAAATACCTAGAAGTCAAACTAAGCATATGCATTTTTTTGAAACTAGTTTCTCTTTGAAATATTTAAAAAAGAATTGATGTCACCATCATGAAAAAATAAAACTAAATTTTTTAGGCATCCTTTACTTGTTCTACTTCTCACTCTCATTTTTATGTTTAAGAACACATGGTATGTCAGGGTGTGGATGGGCAAGTACATATTTTTGTGCTTGACGACTTGGGGTATATTTTTCCAGCCCCAGGAACTGACGTCCGGGCTCAAACTTCCTTCATGGGAAATTTCCTGGCACTCTCTTGATCCATTCCCTTGGCCTCCTGCTGCCTAGGAGAGCAGTCGGTACACCCTTATCTCCCACCCAATTGGTGGTCTCTAAGAGATCAGAGAACGATCAGCAGCTATTCCTCTATCACCACCCCCCACCCCCGCCACCATGGTCTCATTAAGAGCATTCAGCCTATCTCCTCATCAGCCTCTACCTACAGACCATGCACTTTCCCTCCTGTAACAACATCCCACAGAGCCAGAGTCTTGAGGATCTCCTGAAATTGAAGTAAAATTACCGTTATCCTACACTACCATTATTAAATGCTACTATTAAAAGGGAAAAAAATCTACAGGTAACTATAATTCTTTCAAAAAAAGGAGGGAATTATTGTTTAGACTGACCTTAGTACGTAACTATATGATAAACCTCCTTGGTATAAAAGAAAAAATTACATGTATAAAGAGAGAGAGAGAATTTCAAGTCAAACACCTGATTGACTTCTAAGAGATCTCTTGGAAGCAAATGCTGAAAACCATTCAGTTCCTTTTGTTTTGATTCATGAATCACCAAGCAGGCTTCTGATCTCAATTTACTTTCCCCAATGAGAGGAATGTACATAATGGGTTGACTCAAGTATTCCAAACTAGTTAATAGTGAGGATTCCAAGTGTACATTAATAATTTTTCACTGTGGCCCACTGAGAGTGCCCTAGGATTTTAACTGCTGTGATTCCCACCTCTGGGGACGGATGACCAAGCCAGCCAATTATTGGTGCAGAATTTACCTTTTTTCTCTTCCAGGGCACCCACAACATTTAGGGTTTTGAAAAGCTGCCATGTTATTTGCAGCCAAAGAATGCTTGGTAGTTGATTAAGACAATTCCTCTGAAAACCATAGCTGACACTGATAGGAGAGTGAAAATTGGTTGAAATCAAAGGAGAAAAAGAAGAGAGTTCAAGTTCCTCCAGCCTGTGTTTATGTCTACATTCCTATTATGTAGCATAATTTTTTCCAATTTATTGAATAATTTCTTTTCTACCTATAGCATTTTGCCATATTTACCACCTCTGCTATGAACTTAGGTATTTTTCTTTAAATAAACATGAAATTAAATCACTTTTTTTATTAGCCAAATTCTGTGAATTCCTTTGGAATTTTATGTGCTTCGTTATATGTATACACATATACATTATATCTGTGAAATCATGATAAAATCATCACACATATCATCTGTGAAACACAGAATTCCATTAAGAAACATTGCTTGATCTCAGTTCCTGGACAAGAGGATTGGGGCTGCCAGATGCAGGGACGATGCGGTCGCCCATCCTCACTCGCCCAACACCTCCCAGCCAATCCCACCGTCTTTTCCCCTGAACCTGGGATTCACCTGACAGCGTCTGAGCTCATTACTTCGTATAACTGTTTTGAATAATCAGAACAGCCAAGTGAGAATGCTTGCTTGCCATCCTGACTTCAACAGTTCTCTAACAGAAAAGAGTACTCTAGTTTTTCCAAGTGTTTGCCAAGTGCTTTATGTGACGGTGACACTCTTGGCCCCTCCACAGTAATCGGAGGCGACTCAGAAGATTTTCAGGAGCAGTGATGTATGTCCCAGGTCAGTATGGCCTGGGCCTGAAGAATGCATTTCCAAGACAGTTGGCTCAGGGTAAAGATGTTAGAAATGACTCTGCCCTGAGATTTTTCTCCCTTACGTCTGGAAGCCTAGTCATGAACAGACACACAGAACACTAGTCTGAGGCTGGGTGGCTTTTGTGTTATGTGTTTGTTTCAATTTAAAAATAAAAGGAGACCTGGTTTCTTGCAAAAGCCTGCTCTTAATTTCATCAACCTCTACAGCAGATATATACATGACACTGCTACTAGGCAGGCTGGGTAGGACAGGGTAGAGATTACAGTTCCCCACTCATCAAGTTAATATTGCTGATACCTCATACCTCCCAGGCCCACCAGTGCCATTTTCCTATGAAAAGGACAGAGTATTTGAAGGATCATTCCCATGTCATCAAGAGACTATCAATTTGTCAGTGGCTTGATGGTGTTGGTTGACTGATCATGCCACAAAAGAACATTAAAAACCTTTCTTTTATATTTGAATGCTTTATCAAAGTTGTTTCATAACCAAATATTTTCAAAAAGGCCAATCTGTCTCTTTGAGAATACAAACATTTGTTTTAAAAGGGAAATCTCAAGCTGCAAAGTGAACAGTAAAAGGTAGAACTGAGCTAGAAATGAACATGACAAGGTGCAATATTCAATGTGTAAGTCAAATTTAATTTTGCATAAGAAATGAATTTCTTCAGCTTATTTTTTAATTAGCTTAAGCAAGTGCATTCAGGAGCCAATAACACAGACTTACGGGAACTGAATTACTGAAAGGGTTCGGGGCCCAAGCTCTAAATCACAGGCCTTGAGCTGATCTCATAATTAACACCGAGCCGATGTGCTGCATCAAATGCTCCAGAAATACCTTTGCCAAAGAGTGGATGGGGAACACAGCAATCGTTATACCCAGGCAGTAGCATCTCAGGGACTACAAAGCCTCGCCGAACATTGGGAAGTCAGTTACATCAACGTGCTAAGCAGTTAATGTCCTGTCAGGCACATCTGTGTTTACTACCATCAGATAGTCCCAGCTGTTCACATTGCCTCTGTTTGATGGTCATTCTGGGACCCGCGTGATGTTGAGAAGCATGTTATTAGAGAAGTAAATTCCTTACCAAGGATTGATCAAGGAGGGATGTAAATTCCAGCATGCTGGAGTTGGTTCATAAAGTTGAGGACATAGATGTGTCCTGGCCATTACAGAAGGTGAATTTATTTAGGACTCTTGATCAGGGTTTTTAGGGGTCCGTTATTGCTTCGGTTTAAATTATGCTTTCAAATCATTCCTGTAGTCAGTTTCTTTGAGGGCGCCTCAAATAGATATAAACCATTCCTTTCCTGTGGGCCCTGGAAGCAGGCAGGTGCATTGCTACTATACGGATAAGGAAAAAGAGTCATTGAGATGCCAAGAGCAACCTCTCAATCAAACAGCTTGTTGCTGAGGCCAAGTGCTGTGGATTTAAAAGAGGAAAGGTAACGTGTCTGTGCTGGGCGTCTTCCGTTTGCCTCTCTCAGATCCACTCTCTGCCCTTCTCTACCCTGCTCCAAGAGCCTCTGGGGATTCGGAGCCCTCAGGCTTCCCCTTGGGGCTCAGTCCCTGGGGTACCATGGCAGGAGGGACAGGAAGTTAAGAGAACTCTCCCTCTCTCTGGCCTGCCTCCTTTCACCTGACCACTCGGAAATGTCACAGAGCAGAGACACCAGGATGCTTTTCTTCCAGCTTTCTTTGAGCTTAGGGTGGTAACAGTCTCTCTCTGATTATCCTGAGTGCTGTACCATTCCCTGTGATCTCCTTACACCCTGCCCACATCTTTCTTCTTCTTTTAAAGCTTCCTTGAACTAACCTAGTTTGAGTGTGCCATCTTGTTAAGACCCTGGCTAACATAATATCCCTGCCCCAAATGAGCTCACAGGCTCGTTGGTGGAGAACACCAACCCTGCATAAACTCCTAGAGAACAGATCAAGACCTGGGTTATTCTGCAAGTGAGTGACACACCCTGACCCACACAGGCCTTGATACTTCACCAGGGGACAAGTTCACCAAGTCTGTGTCTTTTTCTCTGAGTTCCTTCTGCTTTCCTAGTGTATACTTTGAAGATAGAGGGAAAGAAAAAAAAAAAAACAAAAAAACCTAGAAGTCAGCCTCACTTTGAAGAGCCGGACATAATCTTTTATAAACTTCTACCATCAATCCCAGGGACTCTGTATCCCCTTTCCATGCTTGTTCTCTGTGCTCTCAGCCTTTTCTCAGACTCACAAGAAAACTTGGTCTGGTAAGTTCTCCAGACAAGAGAGAAGATCTGCTATGGCCCAACATGTTCTGGTCCATCCATTTTACTGTTAAACTCAGAAATAGTCAGGTTTAAAACTCTCTCACTATGGCTTAAACTGTACCTGGCCATTCTGGTGCACTCAAGAATTGGGCAAAAGAGTTGATTAAAGCAACTTAGGGTAAGTGCAGGAGTTTCACAAAAAATGAGAACCAACAATCGCATTTCGGTTCATGCGGTTGTATCTGGCAGCTCGTTATCAGGGGACAGGATTTGGTCTCAGTCATTCACCGAAGTGAAATTTCAAGAATAGCATGAAGAGGGAAATGCTTAGCGCTGGTGGTAGTTGTCTTCTAAATAACTTCCATTGCTCAGGATGAAGGACTTGTATCTCTCCTGGAGTGACTCAGCCAAGCCAAATGGCTCAGAATTCTCAGGAAGCTCCCACTGGGTTAAAAGAAGAATTCGTAGCTGCTCTGTGCTGCCTTTATTACTGGTTATGGACCACCTTCGTGGAACGACTCAAGGTCTCCACAGGTACAGCAGTTTCTTTTTTGGCAACTTTATTGTCAGACAATCTGCCTTCTGGGTATGTTGTTATCGCTGTAGTCAATTGATGTTCTGACATTGTTCTTGGCAGGCTTGGTTTTTCAGGGCACTGCTTCGGGAAAAACCATGAAAAATCTAGCGCTGTTTTCTACACTTTTCCTTCTTGTGTGTTTTACTGCACAAGGATGGAGGTGGGAAAATTGTACCTTTAAAAAACATGGTACCACTGAATGGAGAAAAGGAGTGACGTCCGTCCACAAAAACCTGTCATGGACAGGCTTTCCCATGAGAAAGAGCTCTGAGGTGTTGGAGTTTTAGCACAGAGTCTGAAATTATTTAGTTCACTTTTCTTTTCATCTTAGGTAGAAGACTGACCAAATTTAACTCCTATCAGAACTCAGATGTGCAAAGAAAACAAGAATACTTTATTTTGCCTTAAGCTGATCTGAGCTTCCAAACCTGTCACTATCCACACACCCCCACACCTTCATCCCCTGCCAACTCCCCATCTCCCACCTCGTGATTAACAGGAAAAAAAAAAAAACAACAACCTGGTAAACGTCCAATCCTGTTTAAAGTATAATCCATTTGGATAATTTAAGCAGCCCAGTTACAGTGTTCGGTCTTTTGACTAGGCATGTTTTTCTCTGAGATAGCTCCCGTGTCCTCTTTCTTTCCTTGTGGCGTTATCTGGGCACGTTGGTTGAACAAGGTGACTTATGAAACGTTCCAGGAGAGAGAATAGGTAGGGCCCTTCTACCCAAGCTTCCGGCCGCTTCTCATCCGTGTGCTGCTTGCTCTGAAGGTGTTCCCAGGGAAACTCTGTGGTCGGGTCACTTGTGATCTTGACCCACTTCATTCAGGGCCCAATAGCACTCTCTGGTGGATTTGACCTCGTTTGGGTTTGTGCTCTTTCTGTTGACTTCTGTGAGACATGGCTCTGACTTCCCCTTGGCCCTGTCTTGGTTATCTCCTCAGCTGCCCATGCCAGACAGCCCTGTTTCCTCACATAAGCAATCCCTCTAGCCTCTCCTCCAGTGAGACTGTACCACATAAGTCTGTCTACACCACTTAAGAACCAGGGGATGCTTGGGAAAGCTGGATATCAGGGGTTCCCTCTGCCTGGACCTGGTCCATCACTGGGTTGATATGATTTATCCTTTACTGGGGTAAAAAAGTCTCTGAAAGTCACAAATAAAGATAAGGGCAAGAAATGATCCTGACAATGTACTTAACATGCCTTCTTTTCTCCAAGATGATGCCCAAAAAGGAAAACTCAAGAGACATATATATGGCCCTATAACTCTCCCCGTTGTACTGTCTTCTATGCGTCTCCTCACACAAATTTCCTGGGATCGGAAGACAGAGAACCTTATTTGGAATGCTCACTTATGTCTTTTTAACTCCTGCTGAGCCACAGAAATGTTAGAAATATCTTTTCTGTGCTATATATAAGTAAAGTAATGCTAGCTGTGAAAACAGCCACCCCAAATCTCAGTCGCATAATAAGGTACAAATTTCTTCTCAGTCACCGCACAGTCCAATGTGGACCAGTACTGGGGACCAAGATGCTTGTGGTATGGACTTACTTGGGGACCCTGGGATCTTTCCATGTTCTGGCTCTTTCATCTTCTTAAGGTATCTGTGTTCCCCTCTGGGTCCTCTGTGTTTGGCTGCAGCCAAGGAAAAAGCACGTGCTTGGAGGAGTGTACAGGTTTGGGGCCAGGCTTGGAAGTGGTAAACATCACTCCTTCACTCTACTGCCGCATAACTACAGGAGAGCCTGGGAAACATCATCTCCCCGGGTGTCCAGGACCAATATGAGACAGGTGTGATGAACATATGGCAGTGTCTCTGTCACAGTCTAGTGATACAGTCTATTCACTGAGCCCACCAAGATTGATAGGTGGTATTATAATGGTGGGTTAAGGATTAGGAGGAGGAGATGAAAGGGATTTTCAGTATCCACTCCCAAGCTGTGAGCTTCCATGACATAAAATGAATGTATTTTACTTCAGGCTTCTTTAAAAAAAAAAAAAATTAATCTCTTTGGGCATATGGGTATCTACTTTGAGCTAGAGTGAGATCTGGTGTGCAGGCATGGGGAGAAATATTTTTTTTGAAAACTTAAAAATTACCCCATTACAATATAATTTGAATAGTTTTAATGGCCCTTTCCCAACAGAAACATAAATATGAGAATGATCTAGGGCATCAACAAGGATCATTGTGGAAAGATAAACATGCTGGTCTAGAGACCACTTAGTAAGAGGGTTAGATAACTTCTTGTCCACACACAGGGCTGGCTTCCCAGACATGCAGTGTGTATAATCACATAGAACCCTCACTCATGGGGGCCTCAGGCTTGGTTCTGCCATTGCCATCCTGAAATTCTTAATTTTTTAACATGGAGCCCATGTTTCCATTTTGCACTGTATTCCACAAACTGTGTAACCAGTAGTACCCACTTGTGATTATGCCCAGAGGAGATGAGACATATCTAGACGCTAAGTACTGTCAAACTGTACCCTGAGAAGCCCTCTGGATTTCGTGGTTGTTCCTCAGAGACCTCTCCGAGATGGAGGTGGTGTGGCAGGGGGGAATCAAGCAGATGGTCTACCACCCACTTTTATTCATCACATGCATCTGGTTTAAGCATGACATTTCATTTGAGGAATGAAGTCAGTGCTAAAAATAAGTTAAAAGCCATTGGGATACAAAATTCCTCTCTGCTTTGATCTAAAACTCAGTTTTAGGGCATCTGGGCTTATTTCCTACTTCTGTCCCTCTTTAACTTTGGGGCCTTACACAAGATAACAGCTTCTCTGTGAGTTTATTTATCTGTTAAATTGAGATAACAATAAACTAGGTATGATTATTACCTTAATTCCATAATATATGTGTGAATACTTTAAAAATAATAAGCCCCTGTATAAACAAGACATTATAATAGTGTAAAATATATTTTAAATAGGTGTCTTTATTTTTAAATATATTAATTTTTAAAACTTAAAAATGAACACAAAATCGATACTGTAAGGAAGTGAAGAAAGAAAGAATAGTGCCTATTCGATTCTATATTCCTTGGTTATTTACTGATTATAGGCCTTACATGACAGGTCTTATTGGTAGGACTGTGCTGTCAACTCAGTAGAAATATTAAAATTAAATGAGCAAGATATCAGTCAAATGTGGCTTCCCAAGGAGTGCTTAATTAAATGGCATTTGGTACTTAAAATGTTGAGAAACATCGCTTCTGTTCCTCAGTACTCTGGAGTATACTAACAGAATTTGAATCCTGGAATTCTGCAACAGATACTTCTGAAGAAGAGGTACTTCAGAAAAGACCCTCCCAGCTGGTGCATTCATAATTCTGGAGCTTCTGGACCCTCTGTGGCCTTCAACTTGGTGACTGAGGAAGACAAATCCCATTGGTCTCTCTTCCTTGGTTTTGGTCCTTGAGCCACACCAACACAGTGAAATGAAAGCCCTATCCAAGGGAAAAAGACTTTCTTTCTAGAGCAGAGTTTCCTTTATTCCTTTCCAATGGATCTCATCCCAGTTTTTCAACACCTTCCCATTTCAGAAGGCTCTTCTTGAACAGGAGACAACTTTAAATCTCTCAGCAGTGGCTTGGGAGCGAAGAGGGAGTGACAAAGTAATAGGGAGGAATTTGAAGGAGGAAAAAAAAGAAAAAGGAAGCTATTCCAAAGAGAAAATAAGCCCTAGAGGAAACCAATTTGGAGAGTACTCTGTTGAGGCAAGGAAGAGCCCTTCACCTCTTTTCTTTTCCCACTGTCCTTAGTGTAGTGGCCCTGTTGTCTTTGCCCTTGATACACACACATCAGAGGTATCCTGGTTGGGGGCCAGATGAGTTGCAAATAAGAGAGGCAAAGCCTGCCTTCTCCAGAGAAGTTATAGTATACAGTCAACATACATAAATGTCTGACTAATTTTGAAATAGTATTCTTTTCCTGCCTTCCTCTTGTGTTAACAGCTCCAGTATGCAAGCAGTGGACCTGGGGTCACATATGACTTAGAAGAAATTGCTATGTTGGCTTAATATTAAAGGATTGTCAGAGGAGTTTATTGGTAGGGAAACTAAAATCATGACAATGATAATAATATAAATCTAACAGTTTTGAGCATGTACTATTACTTATTAGACTAGGAACTGTTACATTAATTATCTGAACCTTCGTGACAATCATTACTTTAGGTATTATTATAATAACTACTATTATTTTCCATATTTCCCAGTGAGAAAATTGAAGCTCAGAAAGGTCAAGTGGCTTATCCAAAGCTGCACAGCTTGTGCCTGGAAAGGGTCTGTTCTTTTGCCCCGGATTCCTGAGCGTCAAAGTCCACACCCTTAGCCTTGTCTTTACTGCTATTTTCTGTGCATAAAAATCACATGGCTACAGGAACCACCAAAAGATAAAAAGACCAGTAGACTTGATAATCCCAACTTTAAATTTATATCTAGAACTACAAAAGAGCAAATGTACTTTGGCAATTTTCTGGTGAATTTGATCTCTGACTAGAGCCAGAGCAAATTAATCAGTCCTACCCGCTGGCTTGGTGATTACTCATTTCTTACTTCCTTTGAACAGAGCCTCAAAGCTGTTAGAGCAGTCCTCACTCCTGGTGGGAAGGGGGTGATTTGCCCAACTCTCCCGTCCTTCAAACTGGAAAACGCTCCAGCTACAATCTGAATGTGTATGCTGGTCCCACAGTCCTACCAGAGGGCTTTGTAGCTCACAGCTGCTATTTTTTACGATAGAAGCTATTTGCGCCATCTTGAGAGGTCGTGTAGCTCAAGCATTCGATATCAGTGACGCTTAATCATACTTGGGTCACGTTTTTATCAGCATGTAGGAGTTTGTCTTTCAAAGAGTTCATAAGAAAATCTTCTATTTTGACCGTGTCCTTGATTCAAACAGGAAAAAAAATAGCTATACACATTTATGACCCTCAGAGTATAATAA